ATATGTACTAACTCATCTGTAAATGATTATTATCCATATCACACAACCAACTCATTATTGATCTTATATCCTTACTGTATTATGCTGATTGGTATTTTTCTAACTTAAAACAATAAACATTTAAACAATAAAATACGGGTGTCAACTGAGTTATTTAAGCACAAATCTAAGTTAAATAATTATTCTGACAAGTAGCTATGCATCTATCTATTTGTATTTTGATTGGTCAATATACTTAATCAAAAATATTTATAACTACTGATTAGTAGTATCAGAAGGGGTTTTGTGGACATTGTAGTAATTTAAATAGTTGAGATCATCAGTCAATTGAAGCTACACCACCATGAAAAACCTGGAAGCACTGGACGGTCGTTTCGTCCTATTGTAGGACTATCAGTAGTGCGCATCCAAGACCCCACCTCGCGCGATTCGAACCCAGGACCTATTAGTTTCGCGCGTGAGCGCTGAAGAGTGCCACAATAGGATGAAACGGTCGTCCAGTGCTTCCAGATTTTCGATGGTGGTCTAACTTCAATCGACTGATGATCTCAACTATTGAAACTACTGATTAGACAAAAACAATGGAATAAAGGATCTTATTTCACTTAGAAAACTCAGCTAGTTTTTTCCATATTTTAAGGGATTGTTGTGAACAGGGAAATAAGAAGCCCAGACAACTACGAAAGCTACTTTCCTGGGACGTTATTTCATTTCATTTAAACCTTGTAAAACACTGATATCTATTTTTGCCCTTATTTTATTCTACAGAACATGAACTTTCGTTCGATGTATCATTCACTGCCATACCCCTTTTTTGTTATGAAAATATTGTAATTTAAACATAATATTTTGCACCGTATTTTCTACCCTAATTCTCAGTTTTGGACATAATTGTATTTTTCAAAATAATCGTACGTTGTGGTCAGGATATTCACTTATTTATTCATGTACGTCTTTGCACTAATACGAATTCAGAGTGTTCCAACTGTCTTGTCTTCTCTCACTTGCGTGCTTCTCAGCCAATCAGGTTCTAGAATAGTATTCTCTCTACCCCATCTCGAACTCACGCGCGCTAGACTCAAGGTAAAACGATCCAAGGTCATAACAGGGATAAATATAACTGACGATAAGAAGCATTTCTATGGTAATATTGATTTGACGATTAATAGTACTAAATAATTAACGAGCACAGATTTATTTTTGGCTTCAAGCTACACTTTAAAGCTAGTAATACTATCCGAGTGCTTAAATAGAAGTTGGCAAAGCAGCGAACAACTTCGCTTAAAGAAGCACTAACTTCAAAGTATCAGGTGCTGGGCTGCAACAGGCATTATAATAAGTAATGGATCTCTATCGAAACCCTGCACAAGATTCAAGAGAGGAAGAACAAGAAGACTGCAATTAACAACAGTCGAAAAATAACAGAGAAAGTCAAGGCACAGACCATATAAAAACAAACAAACAAGCAAGTGGAGAAGACCACTAGTGCGGACAAGCAGAAATATGTGGAAGACTGAGCAACAAAAGAGGAAATGTTTCAGAAGGAAATATGAGACAGCTATATGACACAACGAAGAAACTGGCAGGCAAATGTGCTAAAGGAGAAAGAAAAGTCAGGGACAAAGAAGGTAAGACAAACAACGAGACTCAAGAACAGAGGAAAAGATGGGTAGAACACTTCGAGGAACTGTTGAATAGACCAGCTCCACTGAACTCATCGGACATCGAAGCAGCACTTACAAACCTTTTAGATGTCACTCCGTGAACGACCGAAGAAATCAGGATGTTCGTCAGATAAGTAAAGAAGGGGAAAACAGCACTACCTGACAGCTTACAGACTGAACCAATAAGTGTCAGGTATAGAAGTGACTGCAAACATATTCTATGTTCTATCGAGGAGGTTTGGGAGGAAGAACAAGTGCCGACGGACTTGAAAGAAGGATATCTCATCAAGATACCGAAGAAAAATCTCAATATGTTGGAGAACTACAAAGACACTACGCTACTGTCAGTAGCGGAAAATTTTTTCAAGTGTTGTTGAGCCGTAAGAAGATTCAGTAGACGCCCAACCTCGAAATTAACAGGCTAGATTTCGTAAGGATTGATCGTGCACAAACAAAAGCGCAACCCTAATGATCATCGTTGAACAATCGATTGAATGTAGTTCATCCTTATAAAACAAATTCTTTGTCTATGAGAGAGCATCTGAGAGTGTGGATAGAAGGACCTTATGTAAACTTCTTCAACACTATGGTGTAGCTAAAAGGTCGTCAACACCGTCCGGAATTCATACGACGGACTACACTGTAAAGTCGTGAGTGGAGGATAACTCACAGACTCATTCGAAGTGAGGACCGGTGTCTGACAAGACTGCTCACTCTTGCCCTTTATCATTCTTAAGGTGATTGATTGGATCATCAAGACTTCCATATCTCAGTGGAAGCGTGGAATACAATAGTTAGCTTAGATGTCACTAGAAGATTTGAACTTCGCAGATTGCCTGTCCTTTCTATCCCATGCACACACGAACAAACGCAGGTCGGAACAGCCAGTATTGCAACAGCCTCTATATCAATAGGCTTCAATATACACAAACGAAAGAACAACATCGTCAAATACAACACAGAAAACACTAACGCGATCACATTTGATAGAGAAGCTTCGGAAACGTCCAACTACCTGCTCAGCATCATCGATGAACACGGACGACCTGATGCAGACGTAAATGAGAGCATCGGAAAAACAAGAGCAGCATTTCTACAATTGAAGAACATATGGAAATCAAAACAACTGTCAACCAATTACAAAGTCATAATCTTCAATACGAATGTTAAGACAGTTCTACTGTATGGAGCTGAAGCGTGGAGAACTACTACAACCATCATCAAAAGTGCACAGGTATTAACAAACCATTTACTGTACAAGATACTTAATCTCATCAGCAACAACCTATTGCGGGAGAAAACAAACCAGCTTCGAGCTGAAGGGCAAATTAGGAAAAGATGATGGAAGTTGATAGGACATATATTGAGGAAATCATCAAACTGTATCACGATACAAGCGTTAACTTGGATTCCTGAAGGGAAGACCGAAGAACACAGTACGTCGGGAATCGGAAACAGACATGAAAAGGATGAATAGCAACGGAAACAACCAGAAAGGATTGTTCAGGAGAAAGTTAGACGAAGAATGCTGGTAGACGGCCTATGCCGCTTCACGAAGTGTAATAGGTGTAAGTAAGTAGGTAAGAGTAGCGGTCGAATATAGTAGTGATTTGATAAATTCATCTTTTTCCAATTAATCTCTAATTAATAAAAATATATTGATCTCAATGAACTTTTAAAAACATATTCATACAGTTGTGTGTGCTTAAAAAATATATATATATATATATACCTTCGTTCTTCGTTAAACTATATCATATGGTCTAATGTAGTGACAATGTGAATGATGTCAACGAAATACTAGACTGAATTAATCAAAAAATATATAAAATTGGAATGAGTTGTGATGAAAAAAGTAAATAAACTTTTAGCACTATTAATTCAAGTACACAAATTTATTGAAGAAACAAAGTCACACAAGATAGTTTTACAAACTTTTGATGATTTTTTTTTACAACTGATATTATTGAAAAGATTATCTTAAATTCAATTTGAAACCCTTTAATAGTACATATACATGCAACTTTATATGAAATCTAACTGAAGACTTTCAGACGTCACAACGAATACAATTTTTTTTAACACATGAGATCGAAAATCCAATAGTTCATATTTTCACCTTAAATTGATTAGATCTCTAACAAGAATTTCTAAACAAAGGAATCAACCAGTTACCATAGAACAGATGGTATGTAACTAACAGTGGGATCCAGGATGTGAGTTTCGTCCTAATTGGAACTAATTAGCTGGATGTACCTGAATCCTAGAGTTGATTTTCACTACAGAACTCGGACTTAGTACCATTCGCTTCAGATATCATTGCGTCCAGATATCCATTCACTTGACTGAAAATTCGATTAGTTTTGTTTGGCATGTGTGGATCCTTTGCAGATTGCCTCTATATAGCCGTTATAACACAAGATGATATAGAATAGATGGAAGATCGATAAAATTCCAGTAAAATGATATCAGCAACAGGACAATCCAAATCATTTTGGATTCATTTAAATCAATCAGTAGGTTATAGGCGACATAGAGCATGGTATATATGCGCACATTGGTTCAAGTTGCCACGTCATGCAATTATTACGACGAATTGTCAGAAATAGTAACAGTAACAGAAGTGGTAGGAAATATTAGGGGCAGGATAGCTGGTCTAGAGGTTAAACGTTCTCACGAGAGACCGAAGGTTCTGGGCCCGAGTCCCGCGTGCGGAATTGTTGCTGCCCACTCCTGAGTCCCATACTAGGACGAAACGGCCATCCAGTGCTTCCAGGTTTTCAGTGGTGGTCTAGCATAGATCGACTCATGAATTCAACCTTAAAAAATTAAATAATGTGTTGATTGTAAAAATTTTCGCTACATTCTTTACTTATCTAACCGGGTGGTTCACCGTTTCATTGATAATTTGTTACTGTTTTATTTCTCCCATAACCTACTAAAATAAGAATACCTGTTCAGACTTAACTCTATATAAAAAATTCATCAGAAATTGATCGCCTTTGGTATTAAGCTTGAAAAAATTTTAGATTATATTATGCATAGTGAAATATCATACCAACCTGGTTAAAAAAAGGCTTATTCATTGGCAGACCTTTATCAACTTTGATATGATGGCCAGACTCTGTTTTTTTAGCGAAATCATAAATTATTCATCACAAATCGACATCGTAATTGTGTATTCATTAAAACTCATACCACTATAGATGAAATCGAAGAAACCTTTTCGAGTGATAAACCTACTACTTATAAGTAGTTAAGATCAGTGAATACACAAAATAACTTAAGCCGTATCATGTTTTCAATGAAATTCAATAATCTCCACAATCATATGCTGAAAAGTATTTATTCCAGCTGACCTGATATACTGATACATTGCTAAAAGGACATGTTCGTTCAAAATTAACACGTGAAAGCTTTGGTTAACCCACACAAATACATTCAGCAGAAATAAACCAGGGAATATATATTATTTGTGTATATAGAACTGAATATATATAAGTATATACTTCCAAAGTTTTATACAGATATGCAGCCATAATCGCTTTGTTCTTATCCATCTACCTAACTCCCATATGCTGCATTCCACCACCTTGTGGATGCATACGTGGTTGGCTAGATGACGTCATTGATCTTTGTTGTTGTTGAGTTTGGTGATCCGGCATATTATGTATACTACCAACAGTCCCCGTAGCACCACTACTTCCTGTACCAACAGCACCTGTACCCGATGGAACAACCATTGATCCACCATGAGTTTGTTGTTGTGTCCCACTAGATAGATTAGATGATTGAGTTGCAGACGTACTATTACAACCCGTTGGATTAACAGAATTGCCAGATTGGTAATTTTGTGAAGTATGTGGCGATTGAATGACAGGACGTGGAAGTTTTTTTAATAATATGTTAGGCATTTCAGCAAGTTCATCGAAACGACGCCATAAATCATACAAACTAAGTAGATGACGAGAAATTTCCAACACCTAAGGTAATATGAAACATTATTACACAGTAATATTATAGAATCAAATCATCTTGGTGAGGGAAAGAAGATAAACAATAAAAATCAGATTGAATGGGACACAATTTATCGATATAATACAAAGTAGCTGCTTTTAAAAGACGGAGAGAACCTGGCGAATAGAACTTCTTAGAGTGGAATACCACATCAATATTTCATGGTAAATCAATAAAATTGTAGATGTGAAAAAATTTACAGTGGACAACCGAATTATTTGCTAGGACAAAAGTCATTTTTTACGCTGACAATCTTAATAATTTTGACTACCTAGAAATACCGATAATTATCATTAAAGGGCTGTGGAGATTGTTGAGCTTAGATTGGTATCAGCGAATGACACCGTTGAATGCCGTCTCAGTGGTCTAAAGGTTAAGCTTTCGCGTGAGACCGAAGGTCCTGGGTCCGAGTCCCGCGCGCAGGATCGTGAATGAGCACCGCTGAGGAGTCCCATACTGCGAAGAAACGGACGTCCAGTGTTTCCAGGTTTTCACTGGTGGTCCAATATCGGTCCGTTCATGATATCAATCTGAAATACCGATAAGTTGTGACAGTGGAATTTCTGAACTAAAACTATACTACTTATAATTGATTAGATTTTGTTCCCTTTGTTGAATTTTACTGGTTAATCTTAAGCTAACTATTTTTTTACTAGTTATCCTGTCCAGTCACATTGAGCCGATTTTCGTGCATGTATGAGTTGAGATTTGATTGTTAACGTCGGGCTCATGACCTTGAAGAGTTAAACACAAACTAATTATTATCTTATAAATAAAAATAATATAACAAATATATTATTTTTATTTATAACAATGAACCCAATGCTCAATTTATTCGAAATTATCAAATCAAACCTTGGTAATGACACCTACTAATTATTATCTGTTGTAGAATTTAAAAATACTGAGAAGCCAAGATGATTTTTCCACTTTATTCAACCTCAGATGCGCTGTTTTGGTAATTCTAAAAAATATATACTACTTATTACTCAATAACACAACATTAAGCATAGTTTGTCTCCTTCCATTGTCTAACTTAATTTGCCAAATAGTAGAAGTATTCATTAGTAGCTGAGTTTGAGTGCTGATAATGCCAACAATTTCATAAAGTAAAATCAAATAATAATAGAGAAACATTCCAACAAGTGATTGAATCTAATCATGATAAACAAATCTATCTTAAGCTAAAAAAATATCTCAATCTCATTATTTTTTATGTTTAACTTTTGACTGTAGAATATTACAATGTCACAACCACGAGTATGAGCTCCACTACCGAAAAGAAAACCATTCCCATCAAAACTGCTTTTTAGTTGGAAAGTCAGTACATAAACATGGAGAGTACGTTATGCGGATTACATGATGTGTTTTGTTGCTAACACTATTCAATTATTTGGTATGTATATGGAAGTAAGATTCAGGACATGAGTCTCATCCTATTCGGCACTTGTCTGCATGTATCCGAATGTTGATGTTCACACTGAGACTTGAAACTAGTACCTCTTGATGCAAACGCTACTGGGCTGTTCACTGAGAAACTGAATTGAGATAGCCACTGACTTGTTCAACGAGTATGAAGGTAGGGGTCTTAAATAGGACGGAAGGCACATCCCGAGTCTACCAAGAACCCCATTTGGTTGATCAACAACGACTTGAACCACAAGTGGAAGAAATTTATAAATTTTCAGATGCTAATAAAATTTTTAAACAATACAATTGTAAGGTTGGAATTTGTAAAATATGGATAAAATATACAATTATTTATTTCAACAATTTATTTCCACATCAAGACCATTATTCCGATATATATATATATATATATATATATATATATATATATATATATATATATATATATATATATATATATATATATATCGGTAATTAAATGCACTTGACTTTCAACTACATTTTATGTAAATGCTAATGACAATAGTCAGTCATAAACAATGTAGAACATGGCACATATGTGCATCTGTCCAAATCGCCACGGCATGTCAGCACAGCGGGGTGAAATTATGAAGACGAGTAGCAGCAGTAGTCGCTTACATGTGATTCGAGAATGAAAGAACCAAGGAAAAACGAAGAGTAAGCAGATTTGCCCCATTACGACCAATTTTGAGCCACAACATTCGTCGTCTCCAATCACTAGTTAGGATTATTACAAGGACCCCAAACAGGTAAACTGCACCCACTAACACGTCTTGATCCAACGGTAAATGACTTCATGGACCGATGGCATGTTTTGGCTTGACTGCCTATAGATTTCGTCGAACCTACTCCTACAACAGTCATCATCATGCGTCCAGATAGGTGGTTATTGGGGATACTTGATACATATGAACGTCCGCTACCTCATCAACTGATTTCTCATTTTTTTAATGACAATAGGTGAATATTTTGACAGAAGTGCAATGAATTTCACCTCATCAACTGATTTCTCATTTTTTTAATGACAATAGGTGAATATTTTGGCGGCCTGCTTGAATATCTGGGCTACCTGTTCCTCCGATCTACATATTTCATCAAGTTATCTGTTTTGTTGTTTGTTTTAGTTCATCATTATGTTCATTAAGCACACAACCTATTCAGGCGCGTTTATGAAAAGTTTACAACCTTTCGCTATACCTGATACAAAAAGGTGCAATCATCGACATCATGATGGCTGGCAATATGCATTGAAACGAACGAACATTAATCAAATGTGGATTACCGAACTCCTAACATCTAACCGGTCATCATTCAAAATTTATCGTCACAATAGATCAAGGTATAAGAAAAGGAAACTTGTTGAAATACTTTATGCTGAGAATTCTATGTTGCACCAAAAATATAATGTTGAATAAAGCTTCTAATAATAAAAAAAATAAATAAATAAAAGTGCAATGAATTTCAACCTAGTAGTTGAAAGTCGAGCACTTTAACCACTGACCAATCGGCCTAAACTCAAAATCATGGTTATCATTACATGTTTGCTGAGAGATCAGTTATCAGTGTATATATGAAGTCGTGCTCACCAAATCAACTTCACCTGACTAATGTAATAAGTTGAATTAAGATGACATATATACGTTTTATAGTTTTGATTGTGATAAGTCCTGCTAATTTTGACGCTTTATTCGGTTCCTAAGCTATTCTGGTAACCCCCAAGCTAGAACCACGCAGCGACCTGAACACGCGAGAAAAGGCGCAAATTAAGCGAAAAGCAATTTACTCCGAAGGTTCCTTCTTGTACAAAAAAACACGGGTATTTATAGATTATTAGCATTTGTCAAATCAACATTATATTTTGGCCAATCTGCTAAAAGACAATTTATGCTACCGACCAATAGTAGCATACCACGTTAATGATCTAGAAAGCTCCCTCGTGCTCTGGTTGGCTGAAACTCTTCGGCTCAATTAGGGCCTCTGCAGGCTCCGTTGTAGTTCTCAGGAGCCGACTTAACACTTCTCCGAATAAGATTTCTTTCTAGAATCCACTTGTGGCTTTACAACTGGTTTCTGGTGGTGTCTTCCTTGACCAAAGCTTCTTTTCAGTGTCCTTGGGCATATGTAAAGTCGATGTGTCTAAGATTAACTCTAACGGGAGATTCGGCTGGTTATTTTAAGTCTGCATCGTTTTTTCTCTTTATGGATCTGATTCATATGTCGTATATATGTTCCAAACGCTCCTCGAACTCTGTACAAAACTTTTCCCAATTTTTGTACAACTTTCCCCGGCTCCCATCGGTTCTTCCCGAGGTAAGATTTAATGAAAACTTCGTCGCCAACATTAAAGCTCCGGATATTTGGATTATGAATGTGCTCATCCACTAAGTGAATGGCAACATGGCGTTGAAAACGGTCCGAATACGCCTTCCGAACATGGCTTCAGCAGGAGACTTACCACCTGAAACATTTGGGTTCGGAGTGGTTCTGTAGGGTGTTAAAAATTTTGTGATTATCCGTCCAGTTGTCCCTTCGTCTCTCCATTTCAGTAATGCTCGTTAAAAAGTGTCCACAAAACGTTCTCCTTTTCAATTCAATTGTGGATGATAGGGCGGAGAACAAAGATGAGTTATTTCATTTGCGCTACAGAAATACTTAAACGATTCTGTGATGAATCGCGAGCCATTATCAGTAACTAAGGTTTCTGGAACTTCGTAGCAGCTAAACAAGGTAGACAACTTGTGGACTGTTTTTGATGTCGTACAATTGGGCATGGTATATATTTCTGGCCACCTAGTAAATGCATCCACAATAATCAGAAACATTTTTCCTTAGATTGGACCAGCAAAATCTGCGTGAAGTCTTACCCAGGGTCCTGCAGGCGTTGGCCAATACTGAGGTTCACATTTCAAAAAATTTCTAGCAGCTTGAATGCATGATGGACAGTTATGGTATTTATTACCGATATCTTTGTCCATTGACGGCCAATAAGCATAACTACGAGCCAACGATTTCATTTTATTGATTCCAGGATGGCCACTATGAAACTGCTTGAGAACACTGTGACGTAATAACTTCGGAACAACAATTCGATCACCGGACATAATACATGAGTCGATAACCATTAGTGAGTCCCGTCGACGAAAATATTGCAAAAGTTTTCAGTCGAGGCAATTGTTTGACCATTTGATCGGGAGACAGCATTTGACTGTGCTCAATGTCTTATCACATTCAGTGATCTTCTTGATAGTTTCAAAGGTTACTGGGAGTCCATTGATTGCGTCATCCAATACGCGATGAACTTCTTTCTCAGCTTTTATATTTGCTACAAACCTCCTCTGGGGTTTTTGATTGGGAGCCTATTAATCTTGATAATGCGTCAGCTTGCCAAAAGGCGGTAGTAGACTGATAAATGATCTTGAAATCGTAACCCAGAAGTGTGGTTGCTCATCGTTGAAGTCGGTTAGCTGTATGAACAGGAATTCCTTTCTTTGACCCCAAAACTGCAGGTAGTGCCTTATGGTCTGTTATTAGGGTAAAATTTCGACCATATATCATCTTGTGGAACTTTTTCACTGCCAAGATAATTGATAGGGCTTCTTTCTCAATTTGACTATAGTTCCTTTCGGTTGTTATCTGGCAGCGTGGGAGATAGCTTTTTCAGACTCATTAGGAAAAATGTGAGTGATAACTGCGCACACACCATAGTTAGAAACATCTGAAGCAACGACTATTGGTAGCGAAGGATCATAATGCGTCAATAAGAGATTGGAAGTTAGGAGTTGCTTGATTTTCTCGAAAGACGCTTGACAGTCCGCAGACCAATTCCGTCTTGTACTCTTTTGTAGTAGGTGGTTTAGTGGAGTACGTAGAAGATGGAGATCGGGGAGGAAGGTACCATAATGGCTGACCAGTCCCAAGGACGATCGTAGGGTAGGAATGTCCCTAGGTCTAGGCATTGTTCTCACAGCTTCAATGTTCTCTTGATCTTGTCGCCTCCCATATTTATCTATTATGAACCCAAGGTACCGTACTTGCTGCATATAGAAGTTACACTTTTCCGCTCGGAGGTGAAAACCATAATCGGCTATGCGTTCTAGTACCTGGTCCAGTTTCTTCTGCAGGTCCATTTTGTCTGCTGCCATAATTGTGATATCGTCTAAATAAGCTGCTGCCCCTGGAATACCTAGTAACACAGTATCCATAATTTTCTGGAAAATAGAGGGAGCCGTCTTCACCCCAAAAGGTAGTCGGTTATACCGGAACAGACCTTTGTGTGTGTTGATCGTCAGGAGATCTTTTTTCATCGGATACCGGGATTTGTAGATACGCGTCTGATAAGTTCGACTTTCCAAAATATCTGCCAACGTTCAGCTTGGCGAAAAGACCTTCTGGTAAGGGTAACGGATACTGGTGAGACTCTAGAGCTTCATTTAATCCGGTAGAGTAGTCTGCACATAGACGGACGCTTCCATTCGACTTCTTGACAACCACTATCGGTGCAGTCCAGTTTGAGAGGTTCACAGGTTCGATAACACCCATTTTCTGAAGTCGTTGTAGTTCTTTTTCAACTATTGGAAGAGCAGCATAAGGTACAGGTCTCTTGGGTCGAAAGACAGAAGTAGCTGCAGGTTTTAGGGTTAACAATGCTTTGGCCTTCGTACATTCTCCCAATTCTTCTTTAAACACGTTGTGGTGCCTTTGTGGCACAGCATTTTTTTTGGTCCCACTCTAAGGTGTTGTCAGTTTTGATTCGTCTGCAGATGCTGTTAATAGAATGGTCAACAAAATAAATACAAATTATCCAGCATAAGGTACTTCTGCAATGTGCTGAACTATCTCTCTGTCTTGAATAACAAGCGAGCACACTGGATAAAATAAAAGGATTCATAACTAGAAAGGTCGACAAGATCCCACGTAATGTTGAGCTGATGATAAAATCCCTCTTACCTTAGAAACAAAATCCATCTACCAAAAATATTTACTTATTGCAAAGAAAAAACAGCACACAACCATTCAAATAAACAAAAATAAGTTTATGCTCACTCTTTCCATATCTACATTTAATTCACTGAACCAACGATCAGCAACTAATGAAGGATTAACAGTTGATTGGGTTTGGTGCCCAAAATAACCATGTTTATTTGATGAAATAGATAGACTGGAATTCATAAATGATGATGAACTGATATTGACGGAGCCGATTAATAGGTCAGGATTACTTGAAATAATCACAACAGCCAGTTGTAGACAACCTGTGTTTTGTTTTGAATAATAATATATTCTGAAAATTAGTATCGAGTGCATAATAGTTTATAGGCATGGTTGGGTTGACAGGAATTATTAGGTAATAAAAATAAACGTAAGTTAATACTTCCAAAAAGAATGTGACTTCTAGGTTGTTCCAGATAAAATTGATAAAAACGTTAAATAGTGATTATTAGAGAGGACGCATAAGTCTTATAAGAATAATTTTACAGTTCTTTATATTACAGATTACATACACAACAGAATTTAAAAAAATATTTAACAAGCAGTGTGTTATCATTAGCATACAAACTGATAGCATACAATGAAATGTTAAAAACGTGGCATGAATGAATTATAAGATAAATTTTGACATAAAAGACCCTACATAACTGTCACAAAAAACTAATTTATTACGCAAAGGAATGCTTTACGATGCAATGTTGCAGTTGAAAGTGAGTAGTTTGTCCTAGTTTTCGAAGTGCTTTCATAGGGTCTTGTGTCTATAGACTCTTTCATGGAACCTTTAATCATAAGCGTCTCATGATAAAGGTATTTTTACCATAATGAGGAGAAAAACTGGGCATCAGTAAATTAAACCGAGATGATGGATTTGAGAGACCTATCTAGGGGGTTGCGAAACTCACTAATGCATACAGGCTCCAAGGTCCTGAAAAAACAAATGAAGTATCAATCTACTCTGGTCATTGACTATCGAGAGATCGCATCACTTGGTGCTAATCCATTACCTTGGGGATGAGATCTTGTAGTTAAAGGCTCGGGCACTCACTCAATTAGTAATGATTGCTGTAGTGGCCAGTTGTTCAGAAACTTTAATATTTTAAATGAAATGAAATGAAGTAGCCAGTCGGATTTTACATACAGCTCATTAGAATCTAAGAGAAATAAAGACTTAATAATACATATGGTAAAAAGAAGAACATACCTAGAGCAATTATATAGGGAGGATAATGCAGGCACACGTCTGTTCGAAAACTATCATTTACTAGCCACCTTTACATATATCGACAAAAAAAGATGATCGAAAATATATTGTAATCATTTGCAGCATATTTAAAAAAAGTATACAATTAATTGATTGATTTTTGAGTTCAGCTAAGATGTACGAATTAGAAAAATCCAGTTACCCAATAGTCATAAGGTTTCAAAAGATCCTAAGATAGTAAGAAATATCTTAAGAGTAGTGGTAAAGTGAAATAACTCATTAATAAATATGAGTTTCCGAAACATGTAATGGGATCCCAAATTTGACAAAGTAGTGTGGAATCATATGTACAGACTATGGAATCATAATTATGAATAAATGGAACGGTTAACTCAATAAAGGTACGATGACTGCAAGTCTTGTACCAAAGTGTGTAAACAGTGTTCGACAATCGCCTTGAGTTTTTCGAAGCTCCTCTTATTCTGAAGATCAGTGTTGTTGGTTATTTTCCCTTTTGCAGTTGATTTAGCCACACGCATCGAACAGTAAAGACAGGAATGTATGGTAATGAGCATTAAGAACAAAGAATGACTGTATGGAGGATACGTTATATAGAGATGGTACCTATTATTTCCTTTCTTTTTTTCTCGGGTTATATACTCGATGTCAGATCTTTTTTACTATCACTGGTACTACTGCTACTATTTTATCTTGTTGTACTGATGTGGTATGGTAACTTCAGCCATGTTGGGGGTATGGAATCCTTAAATACAACATAGAAAGAAAATCAATATCGATTTAAGATGAATTCTTGTTACATTAATTAATTAGGTGTAAATTCTGTTTATAGACTTTCAATAGGTTCCTCACTGATTTGTGTTCATTGACAATTATTCGAATCGTAAACTGTGATAATCATAATCGATAGATTAATAATAATCATAAACGTAGAATGGGTTTTTGTGGAGAGTTTAACAAATTTCACAAGTTGAAATCATGAGTCAGTTGAAGCTAGATCACCATTGAAAACCTGGAAGCACTGGACGGCCGTTTCATCCTAGTATGGGACTCCTCAGCAGTGCGCATCCACGATCCCGCACCACGCGGGGCTCGAACCCAGGACCTACTGGCTTCAAATTGTGAAATTTGTTAAACTCTCCACAAAAACCCATTCTGATTATCATCAACTGCTCACTAGTGACTGACTTCAGGAAAATCTCCTGGAGTTCTAGTGAGAAGCCGTTACCAGTGGAGTTCAACCGGTCTGTTGTGAGATAACAACTCACTGAAGACAATGGTGTACGGTGGCGCAACTTCGTGGATTGGTTGAAGTTAGACATTAACACCGTTGGATGCCGGCTCAGTGGTCTAGTGGTTAAGTGCTCGCGCGCGAAGCCAGTAGGTCCTGGGTTCGAGCCCCGCGTGGTGCAGGATCGTGGATGCGCACTACTGAGGAGTCCCATACTAGGATGAAACGGCCGTCCAGTGCTTCCAGGTTTTTCAATGGTGGTCTAGCTTCAACTGACTCATGATTTCAACTTGTGAAATCATAAACGTATTTTGGGTTTTACTGGGTCTTGGATCAACAAGCTTTTAAACAACAACTCGACTTCTTACTCTAGTTAGTGAGGCAGTTGAAGATGACGATAACAATAGTCGCATTCACCATATTGAAGCTGGATTTGTGAATAGTAGCTTATCGTATGAACAGATTAGGCTGATCTACATGTGTACCAGGTAGTTATGTTACTTATAAACGACTGAGTTGGTGCGTTGTGACAATTTTGTGCAATCTCTTGAATTAGTACGGTGCTGATATCCAATGATGATTAACTGTTGTTCGGATATAGAATGTGGATTTTCGACTTCTTCAGTGATCAAAGTAACTAAGTGGAAATAAGATAGTTGGACTGATCATCAGTAAACGAGGACAATTTCGATAAGGAAAATCCTCGATTACTGATACTCGCATCTAAGATAAAATTATTACTACTGATTTGATGAGCTGCAGACATTATCGTGCATTTTCTCAAAAAAATACTATACGATCACTTGGATTCTAAACTGAGGCTAAATTGTATGAACCCGAAGTGTCCAGATTAGTACTCCAAAAGCAACACTGACCACAACATAGACATAATTTGCAAGAAATACACAAAGTTTTTGGTTGAGACAAATAGCATATAGACCTTCGGTGTGTTTGTTTAATAACTTAAAATGTTCTGTACGAAGGTTTACAGGAAACGACTTACCAAGCACGCTCTAACAGTACGTCAGCATACTCATGCATTTGAGGGCGAAGTTCATCACAAAACTGTACCAATGGACGATAAGGATGAAAGACGACTAATGAACAATCCTGAAAATAAAATATTTAGAAAATTTCTTCAGAATTCCATTATGACTAAAACACAAAATGTATTACTGCTTGATGTGGAATGCAAGTGGGCGAAAAGCTTGCACCACGATTTAGTGCTTATAATTATCTCCCTCAAAGACGCAAAGAAAAGTTTAATGGCTCCATAAATACTATCTACCACTTCCAGGACTACTGTACCCCATCAGCCAAAGCTTTACACAGTTCATGACTATATATCAAACCATGATTGATAGAACCAAGGATAATCTCTCTGTTATGGTCGTACTTAATTTATTTTATTATTGACAGGATGTGAATATAAAAAATAGTCTCAACTCTCCAACCCTCATGACCAATATTTTTCCACGAATTATTCTTGACAATAAAATGACATCACCCCCATTTTCTTAATATCACAAATTAACCAAAACAAGTCTTCTCACCATTGCTTCAAGTAAAATAAATTCACATTCCAATACATCTTGAGCACGATATGGATAACCGTAACCATCAGGAAAATAGATTAAATAATGACTATGAACTAGGATTGACCGAATTAATAGTTTTAAAAAACAGAACTTACCCACATTACGACATGATGTCATTAGATTTTTTTGAGAAACTACACCAAATTCCTAAAATCGGTAAAGATTTGTTCGATATAATTTTTTTAGAATAAGCAAACCAACCTCAACTTTAGATGCTAAAAACAGACACGATGGAGCCATTAACCATGGGTCGATAGTCTTAAATGAATTGCTTTATTGTTACAGATAATATCCTCTCATATGCAACCTACCGACTGTAAAATCTTTTGAAATATACTAAAGCGGTTGCAATTACTTGTTGACGGACTTCAACGCTTTTGCCAAATGCTTGAATGACTATAAAGATGGAAAGACAATATTTAAATGAAAGTGAAAGTGGTAATAACGGTGCCAGAAATTTATGAGGTTTAAAGCATAACATACCATCAGTAAAGAAAAGCATTACTTTCTGATATTCTTCTTCGCTACCAAGAATTTTTAAATCATTCGCTCTATGGATCATTACATCTTGACGATCCAATAACCACTCTAAACTGTAAATTAAAGAATAAGTATGAATAGGAAAGATACTATGAAACAAAAGTGTAACGATATATGAATACAAACTACTTTTCCTGTAAGTAGGTAACTTCTCTCATAACCTATTTTGCAATGTACAGCTAGGAGACGTGGTTGTTGAAAGTAAGCAATGTGTAAGGGCTTTTGTTTGCATTCTTCCTTAATCCAGTGTGAATTTATCGAATGAGAACTGTTGGAGTATATAAAAAAGTAGCTTCCATTCAAACGATGAAGTATGAGTTGTTTAGTTTCACTCTAATCACCAATCACTGCTATATCATCCAGTTAGGCGATCGAGTAACATATTGCAACTTACAACATTGTAATGGACATTCTCATTGTATCCTTATTTGCATCTCCATTAAATGTAGCTTATATAAGCTAGAAATATCTGTTACAGATAGTATTGTCAAGCAGTAGGATATACTGATTTGACGTATGTAGAAAGTCAAATACGGAAATAAGCGGTAATGTGTTAATTACTCAATAATAAAGGAGTTAATTCTGATGAGCTAACAGAGAATGGCAAGACTTACTAGTTTGAACTGCGCCAAAAACTTCGTGCCATGACACACTATATAGCAACGCGATTTACGATGGTTATGTCCTCATTTTAAAAATCGTTGACCATGAAGTCTCTAAAACGAACGAAATAAAAATAAGATATTATATTGATATTATTTTAACTGTCTATCTTATGGTAAGGAACAGGACCAATTAAAGATTCCATGACTCCTGTTCTTAGTTATCCCAGCCATTATAAGCAGCATATCTTTAACTCGTTGCATCAGCATAGGCTTCGTTGAGATGCGGTGAAACATCGCGGAAACATTACTTGGTAGATTTTTTGATTTGATGTGTAATATTGTCACTCATGAACTAAAGTTTTTATTAACTAGTTTAACTTTACAGTGGCTGGCTTAATCCTGTTTAGAAGTCCGGGTATGTGCACACAAAAAGTATCTGAAGAACCTAAACCAACAATCAGACACTGCTAGATGTCTTTATTTTCCCACCTATACCAGAATAATTATTGCTAGTAAGAAATCTGATCGTAAAACAGGTTTTCCGACTTATTATATGTGAACGACAATCATACATAAGTTTTACATGGAATTCTAAGCTTTCGGAAATCTCAACTTATTGGTCAGGTGAGAAAATGCTGCCAACAAGGTACATATAAACAGTCGCATACGCCTGGAAAGACGAGTGCTGTTGAATGATATAAGAAAATTACAATTTCAACCAGAAAAAACTTGGTTTTATTTTGGATACAACAATTTAAACAACTAACGCCAAATTAAAAAAACACATTTGGTTTCGACTAGTTTGCACAAAGATAAAAAAATACCGGACGTACCGTGAACAGCAAAATTCGCGCTGACAGTCTTCAGTTTCAGTTTCGGTTTGGGAAGGACATGAGGCCTGATGGCTTCTGTTAGTCTTGGTAATCTTGATCTCTCAGTTGATCCAACTTTCTTTTCAAAGAATCGACGGATGGAGCCTCAACCACGTGCTGAGGTAATGAATTCCACTCGTTGATGATTCGATGGGAAAGTCGATAGTCAGCTGACAAGTAATTTGTTCTGGGCTTGTGAACATTTTTGGAGTGCACCCGTAAATTCTCTGTTTCGGAAGACAAGAAAAATGATGGCATATCAGGTGCAAATTCATCACTAAGCAATTTGAAAACTGCAATCAAGTCGCCTCTAGTTCTACGATATGACAACGGGAAAATTTCAGCTTGGCCAATCGAACTTCATACGGAAGCTTCGCTATTCCGGGATTCAGCTTAGCTGATTTTGTCTGAACCTTTTCCAGAAGCCCACTGTCTTTTTTAAGCATGGGCTAGCCGCTTGTATGCAGTGCTCACGTTTAGGACGTACGAACACTGTATAAAAAGTTAAAAACGTTTTAGCATCGACATGACTAAAAGCCTGAGGATGATACAGGTATTCAGTGTTTGACAACGCTTCTACCAATAACACCTTCTAATATGCTTTGTTCCCACCGAGAGAAATCAAAAGACAGAGTCGAGGAGATCGGAAGAGTGTATTTGGCAATAACCAATATATCAGGAATCTCTGATCTAATCTGGCTAGTGATTGCGATTGTTGTTGAGCACAGCGTGACAGCACGTGATCTGGTGCGGATGCATGACCGAGCGCCTTCAGCTAGATGAGTCCACTAAAACATATGGTCAGCATCCAATGTCGAAAACCTATTGAGCTATTTAGTTTGGGGATTTATTTACCGCTACAGATCACTCCCCCCCTAGTGGGGCAGTGATGACCCTAAGACGTGGCCAGCCAGAAGTTTAAACCCAACGCGTTTGTCGTTGGTAAACACTCTTCTGATAGCTTACTAAATTTAGCAGCGTCTGGTCGTCTTTCCTTACTATATGGGACCGGGGTACAACATAGTAAAAAAAGAAATGTACAATGAAAGTTTCGTATCCTCATAAACGTCATCGTTCTTTTCCAGCCGTCCTGGAAAAGAAGAAAGAGAATGTAAGTGCATGTCGAAAATACACTCGTATGTGCGTAAAAAAAGGAAAATAAACTCGTAAAATCGTTTTTTTTGTTTTTTTTTTTTTTTAATAGAAATGAAAATATATAAGCCTATTTAAAAAAAAATTATTTTTTAATAATATAGAAAATGTCGAGAAGTGCCTTACGTGCAATAGTCGTTTAAATGTTCTGGAAATCTCACTCTTCTTCCAGAACGTGTCGTTTTAAGTTTATTTTCGGATACTGTCGAAGTATCATCGTGTGTGTTGGTTGTCGGATGAGGTATTATAAGTGTCGGAGTCGTGTCGTTCAATTGTACCGAAGGAAAATCCACGTAGATAGGATTTCCTTCTAAATACGCTGCTTTGAGGCGATCGATGCTGATGCTGTCGTTGGTTCCGTTCTTATCGATTATATAGTACTTCGGTTCGCGTTGAAGAACTTTGAAAGGTCCTTCGTATGCTGATTCGAAAGGTCGTCGATGCGAGTCTCGACGAACGAAAACGTGTGTACTATATCGTAACTCAGGTTGAATGAAAACATCAGTTGATTGAGGTCGAGTGGAAGCAGGTTTAACTGAACGCATTGCGTTTGTAAGCTTGTTCGTGTAGGAGGTTAGATCCATGCTCATTGAAGAGGATGAAGGATCCACGAATTCTCCTGGAAGTCGAAGTGTCGTTCCATAAACGAGTTGAGCCGCAGTGTATCCAATGTCAGCTTTCACTGCATTGCGGATACCTAGTAAGACGAGTGGAAGAGCGTCGGTCCACTGTGAAACGTTTGCAGCTGATAGTGAAGCTTTTAGTTGTCGGTGAAAGCGTTCTACCAACCCGTTTGCTTGTGGGTGGTAGGCGGTCGTTCGGAAGCGAGTGCTTCCTAATAGTGTGGTCAGACGACGGAAAAGTTCAGACTCAAACTGACGTCCGCGGTCTGTGGTGATGGTTGAAGGGCAACCGAAGTTTGCTACCCATCGTTCGACGAAGGTTCGGGCCACTGTTTCAGCAGTGATGTCCTTGATAGGTACTGCTTCTGGCCATCGAGTGAAACGATCTACACAGGTCAAGAGGTAAGAGTATCCATTTGAATCTGGTAAAGGTCCTACCAAATCCAGATGAACATGGTCGAAACGAGCATCGGGAGTTTTAAATGAGCCTAAGGGACATTTATTGTGTCTGATGACCTTAGATTTTTGGCAGCTTACACAGGAGCGTGCCCACTCCCTCACGTCTTTATTCATACCAGGCCAGCAAAAGCGTTCTGCTATGAGCTTGATGGTTGCACGAACACCTGGATGAGAAAGTTTGTGCAATGTGTTGAAGACATTGCGTCGATAATGTTTCGGAACGATTGGGCGATCTCTACCTGTAGATGTGTCACAAAGTAAGGTTTCCTTACCTGTTCCCATCTGTTTGATGCGTAGTTTAAGGGTTGTGGACGATAACTCTTGCTGAAGATCAGTGTCTTCTTTTTGAAACTGGGCGAGTTTAAGAAGGTCGATTCCTTGGAAACTGTTCAAGGAGTTTATTCGAGACAAGGCGTCTGCAACTACATTGTTTGCTCCAGAAATATGTTGAATATCTGAAGTAAACTGCGAAATGTAGTCCAGTTGTCGAGACTCACGGGGAGAGTACTTGTCAGAAGGAGAGCTTAACGAGAAAGTGAGCGGTTTATGGTCAGTGAATAGAGTGAATTCGCGGCCTTCGATATAGTGTTGAAAATGCCGTACAGCACAATACATAGCTAGGAGTTCCCTACCGAATGTGCTGTATCTCGATTCGGTGTCTAGCAACCGTCTAGAAAAAAATGCCAAGGGTTGCCAGGAGTTGTTAATCCATTGTTGTAAGACTCCTCCGATTGCCGAGTCGGATGCGTCTACTGCGATACTAATGGGTGCTTCAGTGTCCTGATGTGCGAGCATTGTTGCTTTAGCGATCAGTTCCTTAACTGTGGAGAATGCTTTTCGTGCGGTGTCGTCCAAATTAATGGATTTCGCATTTCCACGAAGTTGGTCAGTAAGAGGTTTCATAAGTAATGCGCATTTCGGTATGAAGCGTCTATAGAAACTTACCAGGCCGTTAAACGTGCGTAATTGCTTGACGTTGGTCGGTTCTGGGTAATCCAGAATGGCCGCCACTTTGGTCCTAAGAGGTCGAATGCCTTGAGCATCGATAGTGTGTCCTAGGAAATCTAACGAATCGGTTCCGAATTGGCATTTCTGAACGTTTACAGTAATGCCATGTTTTTGTAATCGTTCGAAAACAAGATCCAGATGCTTGAGATGTGATTCTCTGTCCGGACTTGCGATTAAGCAGTCATCAACATACGCATGTACGAAGTTGAGACCTCGAAAGACGTCGTCAATGAATCTTTGGAATGTTTGCGCAGCGTTTCTTAGACCGAACGGCATTCGCAAAAATTCATAGAGTCCGAAAGGAGTTATGATAGCTGTTTTCGGTATGTCGTCAGTGGCCATGGGAATTTGGTTATACGCTTTAACCAAGTCGATTTTTGAAAAGACAGTTGTACCTTTCAAGGTAGCTGTCAAATCGTGAATGTGAGGCAACGGGTAACGATCGGGAATGGTTTTTGCATTCAATCGCCGATAGTCACCAGTTGGACGCCAATCGTTGCTGTCCTTTTTAGGGACCATGTGCAACGGAGATGCATAAGGGCTGTTTGACGGTCGTATGATTCCTAAGTCTATCATATGATCGAATTCGTTTTTCGCTAACCTCAGCTTTTCCGGAGCTAGTCGTCGTGCTTTAGAGAATACAGGTGGTCCTGTAGTCGTGATGTGATGTGTAACATTGCTGGTTACACACGGTAGTTTCGTTTGAGCTTGTTGTATCCCAGGGTACTTGTCGAGTAGTGGTTGATAGAGTGGGTCTATCATATGCTTAACTGTGACTGGGGATAATCTACAACCAGAAAAAGAAGTTACGCAAACGGATAATTTAGTGTTTCCATCTACTAGCCTCCGTTTGCGCGTGTCGATGATTAGATTATGATGTTGTAGAAGATCCATACCAATGATTGGCATAGAAACATCTGCAACAACGAAAATCCAATGAATGGGTTTGCGTAAACCCACGTTAAGGTAGACGTACCTTTTGCCATACGTGGCGATCGGTTTTCCATTTGCCGCCTGTAAGTTTAGAGTTGATTCGTGGAGCCGGTCGTTATGATTTGCTGGGAGAACGCTAACTTCTGCGCCAGTGTCGACGAGGTAGCGAACTCTCGTTGTCACATCTGTGACGTACAACAGACGGCTATGTTCGCCGGCTACGGTTGCCGTTAACGCGTGCCGGCTTGGAAGTTTCCCGAATTGTTTTTCGAGTCAGTCGTTTTCGTGTTGGGAAAATTGCAGGGTTTTCTGCAATTTCTGGAAGATTTCCCATACTGGTTATGATACCAGCACCAGTCAGGGTTATCTGTCTCTCGTGGTCTAGAGACAGATCGTTTACGCGAAATGCTTCTACGTGGACTGCGTGAGCGACTACGGTCGTTACGAAGATTGAGATAACGCGTGAGTGTATGACATAACTCGGTTATGTCATTCTGAGTCGCGTGAGGCTTTTCTTTGACGGAAAATACCTCTGAAGTAGACGATTTCGTTATTTCTAAAATACGATCGGCAGATGCAGCTAGCTCGTCTAAGGCGTTGTTCTGAAATGAGACCAGAACCGCTTGCACCTGTTGAGGAAGTTTAGATAAGAAAAGTTGTTTAAATAGACCTTCGTCGAAAGTCCTTAGGCCTATCACTTCTCTCATTCTTTGCAACATGTCAGTCGCAGAACCGTGTTGCAAGTCGATGTTATTGAAGAGTTGATCTAACCTTTGTCGATCGGTTAGGTCTCCTCGTTTAAGAATCGAACGTTTAAGGATTTCGT